ATTTATATGTATAAGTATAATGAAGAGTTTTCACCTGCAGCTGTCCCCCCCTCCCTGAAAAAACCGCTTAACCCCATTTTATTAAACTAGTTGACCTCTAAATCGTCCGWCCGCGTGATGGATAGAAAATTCAAAATGGTATTATTATTCTACCACTTGAGGATATAAAACTAACATAATTTTATAACAATAACAGTAACCGGCGACGGCACTGTTTTTGTGGTATTTGGTATCGTTTTTAATTAAATTAAATATAATAATACACATTCGTTGTTGCGTGGTATGTCGTATATATACAACAATAGTGCTGTGARCATATTATTATAATTTATAATGCATTTATATAATATACATATATGYAATATCGTAACAATATAAAACTTTAAAGGCACCGCGTCGAGTGCGTTTTATGATCTGCTCTCATCGACTTAACATAATATATAGTAGGCAAATAAGGTCGACTATCGATAACTCCAAGTTCAAAGGAAAGACATTTTTTTATTTCGAATTATCAAAAACCGATGACTTACTTAGTGTTGTGGCGTTTGAACTTCAGCACATTTATTTATTTGTTTTTATCACCATCGAGAGTCGACTACGTATTTCGCTTATATCGAATAATATTCGCATAGGTCATCCTTCTAGATTTCTTGCAGGTCCAGTATTGTATTGTACTGCTGTTGGTAATTCGTTATTATTATATTATATTCAAATAATTTATATATTTTATACCAAGAGGGGCGTGTATGATATAACCTGTTTGATCTCATATTTTCCAACACACGTTAGCCCACTTGTTTTTTTTTTCTTTCTGAAATCAATTATTGTCATACAATTGCACGCAMTGAAATATAATAAGGCGTATATTATTATAATGGGCCTATTGTAAAAACTTAATAAGCCACACGTGTCTAAATAAAATATGATAATTTAATATTATAATATATAATCGCGTGCTCTTATCAGCAGGCACCTATATTATAATATTATAATAGTTTATTAATTTGTATCGTGTGTATAAATACATATACGACAGGGGCCCTCGTGTTCGATACGAAACGGGTAACCGCAGTAAACCAGCTGTAGAATATCCCGGACGAGCATCATCTAAAAAATTCCCATCCCATTAAATATATATTTTTTTTTTCSATAATTATTTTTTTACGGAATTCGAAAGAGCCTGTACAGCAGCAGTCGGCGACGAAATATTATGATAATAATTGGACTCGTCTGGCGTGGGCCAGCTTTGTATAACGCGGTATGGRCGGGTTGTGCGTCGCGGCAAACGTCTTGAATTAATTCAAAGCGTAAATAATGTTCAATCGTATTATTATATTACATTTTATACATTATTACCATGACAAATATTATAAATATAATAACAATGATAGTAATATAATATTGTGCAGCGATCAAAAGCCGATCGCTACAGTTATATAATAATTCGTCGTGCCCGATTTTGTCTTGCGATCCATCGTCGTCGATTTCGTTACGCATCGTTACGCGTTATATTATTATGGTAAATTAATATCAAATAAAACGCATTATAAATGGTTAACCTCCAACGCGRACGGGTAGGTACCGCATACCGCACAATGGGACGATGGTATATTATCTATTATACTTACCTTTTATTATTATTATAAACGCGTCTAATAATAATTAATTATGATATCGCCGAGGACGAGGAGTATCGTTTTTATRGTGGTTCACGTTCACATCCGTTGTAGCCGGCCATATAACGTTTCTACGATGTGAACACTAAACGAGATCGTAAAAAATCAAAATCGTCCGGACCGTACAATAGGCGTCTGTCTGTCTAGTGTCTGCGCTTCCGCCGCGTAAAGGCATACGTRTAGAGTACGATGGGACATGTATATATTAAATTGTGTGAATTATAGTCATTATTCGTCATCAACACACGTCTCGGACTCGCCTAAACACGACGTACAAAAGAGTCTTAAAACAAWTTATTTTATAAACATAATATATTATTGGAATGCGACGTACCTACCTATATATAGGGCTATATAGTTGCGTCGTTTGATTATTTTTTGGCCTACCCACGTCGTTTATATACTATTAAAAATAATAATATATATATAGTGTCTATACCTATATACACATATATATACCGCGTATGTGGTTATTTTCTGGTTGATTGACTATATATATACACATTTTACTATACGTGGGTACTGGGTGTATATATATATATAGCTACCCCCGCCGAATCGATATAATAACATTTTAATGATATAATGTGAGAACACTGAGAACTCGTCGGCAATAGTTGTGCAGGTTGTGCGGTCCGTATAGAAACGGTGATTTGCCATGAACCCTAAAAAACCCAATAATATTCGTTTACGGCCGTTGTCAACCATAAAATATTATACTGTTATTAATGTCCATCATCGTTGTTAACCTCCGTAGTCGCATTATTAGAATAACGTACCGTTTTGTTCAGGTGCGAACGGTTTTTGGCGAAACGGGAAAAGTTTTGTTCAGCCGTTTTGTTAAATTTTTACGATAACTAAAAAAAACTATGGAACACCTTCCGCCTATTGGAAAATCGCAGCCGTATCTCTTATATTTATATATAGGGCACATGATTTTCATTAAAAATTCCGTCTTCACATCTTTTTTTCACTATAGTGATCAAGTACAACTGCAGTCGTCTTCCGATCGCATGATGTTTTAATGTTTGGACCGAAATTGTTTGAAGTAAAACGTTCTATTATTTGCTGCAGCCTGCATCTATTAACTATTTTTTTCATCAATTTTTTTCTTTTTTTTTAATTGCGATCATGGCACTGGAATGACAACGACACTGCTTATTATTTCGAAAAACTCAACGATCGCCTGTCAACAAACCGCTGCAAAGTCCTACATAATATTATCTATACTGAGCAGCACATAGGTACAGCGGCGGTGCAATATTGGCKCATCATAATACAATTAACAGAGAATTGCATTAGATGATGCATTTTGACGCACGTCATTTTCGTAGAATCATATAAACGGGTCTTACGATCTGGGTATAGGGCATAGGCAGTGTTGTTTCAAGTTTTAATAACATCGCAATAACTACTGTTATTGGCTGTTGCGCGTAACAATGGCCCATTATGTTATTATATTTTTAATCAATGAAATCACACCCATATGTATATTGTTGATTAAATTACCTTTTGCAGTTCCGGACTGTACAGTAATTTTATCTCGGTAGATATCGGGTTTAGTTTTAGTTTTTTCATTATTTTTGTCAAATCAATTGTAAAAATACTTGGTGTATTGAAACAATTATATTAATAAATAAAATAAAAAAATAATCGTAGTAATAATAATATTATGCACAAATCGTGTTTCTATTTTAAATCGTTTACATTATGTTTTACATTATTCATTGCAATCAAAGCGCGCTTGATGAAAATTGGAGCTATTTTATATTATAGTAGTCATTCGTCATCATCGGTTGCTCGTTTACAGTGTAGTCCCGCGAGAATTTAGTAATTTACCCATCGCGATATCTCCCGAAATAATGGAGATATCAAAATTCTAGTTTTGTTTTGTTCGTCAACATTTTTTTTTCATTAATTTCCTGATTTTTAATATTTTATTCTAGTTTTGAAGAAATAAAAATATATGATTACAACTGCTGAAATAGTTTAACCGGACGTACGAGCACGCGCACGTCGCGGAGTTTCACATGTTTGATAGCACTATACACGGTTTTACTGTAATTCGCAATTTTTCTCAAAATTAAAAAAAAATTTTAAATCGGGAAATTAACGAAAATAAAATGTCGAAACGTCAATATTTCCAGAATAATAAACTCTACAAAATGACTATAGTGATTTTTTTTTTTGGAAATAAATAAAAAAATGTATTTTAAACTTTTTTACCGAAACATTATAATATGAATATGAAATAATTGTAGTTGTTATCACGAAACCAGAATTTTGATATCTCCATTATTTCGGGAGATATCGCAATGGGTAAGTCTTCACGAGACACCCTGTACCTACCTATTGTGTACGTTTAAAAAAAAAATGTCCATTTAATGTTTTATAACCTACAATTAATCGTGCCGGATTGTATTATACCACCACGGTTATCTGGGGTATGATGTCACGAGTCGATGTACTCGATAGTAAGTAAATGAAAAATAATCTATATTTTTTAATTGCCCTTTTCCGTAACCTTATCGAAATTTATAAATGCAATAAAATGGGTTTTTTTTTTTTAAACTATAGCGACATAATGACGAGTGACGAGGTTAATGGTCGCGCCGGATCGGTTCGAAAACTGATTTGTCATAAAATAACAAACAGGACATTGGTTTCAATTTACTGTGGCGACAGAATATCGATATAATATCTGTACAATAATGTGTGTTGCTCATTTTGTGTTCGACGATAGCCTGTAATAGGAGATAATATAATTTATTATAGTTTAAACATAATAATATGTAGACATTGTATCAATCATTTTGTCAGGCTAATGACCATACAATATGTCTTAGCCTTAAAACGGTAACAAAAAATAGATAATCAATGTTTTGTCGACTTTTTAGTTTGCGTTTTAGAAAAAAAATAAAAACAACACGTAATATATTTTATTCCATACCTATTAATTATTATACACAATTAATTAGCTAATTAGCATTTGTACAATCGAGATATTCCGTATAGGTTTATATTATGACGAGGTATATTATTCTGTAATAGTAAGATAATGTGAAGTATTTAATTTTATAATTAAAAACTAAAAATAATTTAATATATCGAATAATTGGTATTACAAAATATGTAAAAATTAGTTTATCTATAATGGGTGCTTTATCTAATGCAATATTGTGTAGAGTATTTATATGCACTTTTATAACAATATGCATTGTACGTCATACTAAATTATTAACTAGCATTTTAGTCGATTTTATTGTTGTTGTTATTACGTCGTTTTTTTAATAATTTTTTTTTTCTTATTTTTTATTGTTTCAGTCTTTTCAAGGCAGTCAAGGAAGAGCATACCTTTTCAATTCTGTGTGAGTATAATTATTTTTATTGTTTTACTGTATAACGTTGCCTTTTTCGGGACTTGAATTAATAAGTGAAGTACAATAATTATATTTCGTTAGCGGCTATAGTCACTCTCTCAGTATAGGTTTGTAGATATTAATAAATAATATAATATAACTACATTTACGTTTCTACGTTTTGTTGAACGTCATCGCTCGGGTTCCCATTAAATTGTTTTCCCACCTCGTTCAACATAAACTTTAACGTAAATATTGACTTTTGTTCGTCCTCCTTTATAGTGTAAACGTCGGATGCGGCCCGGCAGAAGAAAGGATATTGTTGACCGGACTACATGCAGTCGCCGATATATATTGTGAATGCTGTAAGACCACCCTGGGTTGGAAATACGTGAGTGTACAACTACTGTGTATTTATTACTATATGACAATAATTATCACGTACGACGTGAAAGTGCGCAATAGCATCTTAACAAGTCAGAGTATTATAAAAACCGAAATTACGATTTCAAAAAAAATAGATTTCAAAATAGGCACCTTGCACCTACATAATGTTATCACCGCGAGAGTTTTTTTTTAAACATTTTATAGAACTTTATACATTGTATAAAAATAAACATTACATCAGTCGGCTTACATTTCTCAAGCATCACAAGAGATCTTTCCCGTCGAATCGCCCATCTGCGAATCACATATAATAATGCATTTTAATTTCTTTGAACTCAAACCAATGTTTAYAAATATCGTTTCACCGTAAAAATAATCTTATTAACTATATTATAATTTGTGAACCAACTCTGCAGTTTTCATAATAATAATATTGAACTTAGTGACTGACTACCGGCAACTAAGAAAATGCTATAGAAAGAATTTTCTCAGAAGATTTAAATAAAGTTGAAAATGTATAATTCATCGTTTTTTTTTCAAACGCATTCCACGAAGTGTTCCGCTGTGATTACTCATTCTGTAGYTGAGTTTTGTTTATTAGTTACGTAATCAATTATTTAATTTTCATAAGTAATATGTTAGTACACATTTATTAAAATATTATAATATTTAATTATTTGAACTGTACCTGAATCGAGGTTCGGGATRCTTCACCAAGCATTTTCACCCCGTTTTAATGAGTTTATTGAAATTCTGATTTTTGAATTTTCATGTATACATAAAGATTACGCATATTATTTTCAAATTCCTTAGAATTTATTGTGCTACTTATTAATGCCAATACCACATCACGGAGTCCGATCTTTGTTTTGTTTTTAAAACATTAAGATTGTCCTGTCTATGTTGGTAAAAATTGAGTTCAATTTTTGTTTTGCTTTCTCGTCCTGYGTGAACCTGGCATTAAGAGTGTCCTCTGGAGATAAAAATTTCTGTTTTTCAAATGAGAATCTACCTTCTTACTGTGTAAATTATTTAATGGTTAATTTTTTGAAAATTTTTGTAGATGTACATAAATCAAAATTCCAGTATCGGATATAATATTTAGTATACAAGACCGTTTCATAATTAATTAAAATAAAAAATTCGATAGATAAATAATATTAATAACTAAATTGTTAAAATACTCATATCTTCCAAACCCATTATCTACACAAAGTCAATTAACTTAAAAACYACTCTTTCGAATTTGATTTTTATGTATTGAAGTATATAGGTACTCTGATAAAAATATTCCGTTTTATATAATCCGTATATTGTCACACAAAAAAGTGAAAAACTTAATATATGAAAATGATTCAACATGCCTATTATATCATAATATGATCTTAAGGGATAAATGCTGTTTTGAAAAATGACTAAAAATTATGTAAATAAATATTTTCAAAAACTATAAAAAAAAAAAAAAAAAAAATGATTGTTCTTCCACAAAAGAACATAATATAAAGGTGAACTCTCGCCTATAAAAAACACTAACATAATAATTATTTAAACTCACTGTGGTTATATTTGTGTMCTCGTTTTTGTTCTCGCAGTACCTAATACCTATATATAATACTTGCAGCTAAAGTCATTATTATTTTTGTTCCCCTTACAATATGCGCGGTATAATATTATAATACGTGTGGGGTTATTCGTAACGCCTACGCGTACAGAGTGCACTATGAACAACAAAAATTCATAATATTATTATTATGTTATAATGATTTTGGTGTGTACATGTGTGTTGCAGGAACACGCGTTCGAATCCAGTCAGAAGTACAAGGAGGGCAAGTACATAATCGAAATGGCACACATGATCAAAGAAAACGGCTGGGAGAGTCCGCCGAAGAAATAAACTCATCTATACCCTCTATCTCTCTCTCTCTCTCTCTCTCTCTCTCGTCAAATCTCTTTGTTTTTCCCCATCCCCCCTTGGCCTACCCACCACCCGAGCACCCGAAAAATTCACACTCTCTCTTTCTCTCTCTCCTGTTTTTTTTTTCCGTTCGTCCGACCTCGAAAAAAGTTTGACGTTTTTCCGGGCATTCCGTCGTGGCGTCAGGTCATCGCAGAGTTATGGCGGCCACGGCGCTAGACGAAAAACCGAATAGAATAATAATAATTATTATGTTAATTGACGGCTGTCATATAATATTTTCGCCATCGTCCTATTGTGGAGCTCCGCTGGATATGCAAAATATGCGGTCGCCTCGGCAAACGACGGGGGAAATCTCAATTAATACGCGCCGGAGTTAACGTTAGACGGTTAGCTTATACGGACTTATTATCGATGTAGTATATAGTGATTAACTAATGGTGTACCTATTTAAAATATTAAGTATTTATGTGATAACGTGATCGTATTTATAAGAGTATAATATTTATATATTTATATATATATATATAACAAAAGCCGGCACTGTAATTCGGTTTCAAAAGAAACACACAAAATTAGAGATATTGTATTATACACACCTCCCGAGGCTTTTTCGATACATATATATTATTATGGCCACGTAAACAGATTTATCGGTTTATTGATGTTTCGATATAGTGAAAAAATGTTTAACTATTTATACATATTTTTGCGTTGTATACAAATAACATTGATGAAAAACAATATAAATTTATCTATTTTATTTATTTTATCTCGATCAGTTCGTTACAAAAGATATGAGCTATTATTATTAGGTATATACAACGAAAATCAATAAATGATAATTATTACCACCTATATTATAATATAAACTATAAATTCAAAAAATTAACGCAGGGTTTCGTTTTAAAACAATGTTTTTGTAAAATTGATTTCGATTTTATTTTTATCTAAATATTAATTGTTCTTAAACAAATAGATCATCCGGTCAATGGCGTATTGCTTGGTAAGAATTTTGAGAAAAAACTATTTTTATTTTCTATTTTTGTGTTGTTCAAATTCGTTTAAGATATGATAATATTATATTAGGACTAACCGTGTAACGTGTAACCATACTAACCCATTAAAAAATAAAAAGCAAAATTCTTGATAAAAAAAAAAAATTTAATTAAATCGTGCTGCTTACAATAATCTACCGGTTCTCTAATAATTTAATAATATCACTATATATAATAATAATACATAGATCGGTTTAATAGACATAATAATATATAATATATATATATTTTATATAAATATAAAAGCACAGTTTTTTATCCGTCGGCTTTATCTCGTAACAAAATCATATTAATAACATGGCATATCGGTTGGTATAGGTAGGTACAGTATTTTCAGATAGTCATAAGCCTAACACAATTATCGGTATAATAATGTTATTTTTCACGTACAGGTTACACTGTCGTTATTATATGGTATATGGTATATGCCATATGCGGTTGGTTTTTATTTGTATGAACGGACGAGTAGGTTTAATACAGTTCGTAACACGACATTTGGTTTTAACACCGTAACAGAAATTCATCTATACCATATAACATATACCAATGGATAACATATTGTATAACAGTGGGCGCTAGTGTACGTCGACTAAATGTGTAGGTAGATAATTGTACTTTAGCATTAAAGCGCATATAAGTAGTATATTGTATTAAAAGCCAAAATAATTATAAAATATTTTATAGAAATAATAATAATAACTTCTGTATCCAATATCATACGAAATTATTATATTAGTAGTATTTAAAATAAGATATTATTTTTTTATATTTACKACGTAGTGCTATACTTCAAATCATTGTACTTAAAACTAAAACTGGTCTCAAAAACAAACAAAATCCAAAAAAATTAAGTAAAATATATATTGTAACAGTAGTCGCTCTAAATCCATCATCGCTATGCTAGCAATTTAAAAATAAATTTCCATTTTATTATTGTCATCGACTCGATTTTTTTCCAACTATACCTATATTAATTTGTATTTTTTTTTTTTTTTGTTTACTATATTAAAGTTCCTGTGAAAACAACAAACTTTTCCACTTGTCCTTGACAAAACTGATCTCAAAATATAATGAAATATTTTTTTATTATGTTTTCATTAACTAACAGAATGGGCGGAGTTATATGAATATCTTACTGGAAACGTAAAATTCTGTACACTGGACTAATAGAGATATGCAATTGGCAATTAGCACAACTCTGCTATTTATAAAATAGAATAATATGATCTTCTTGGGAATCGTTTGTAATTTACGTTCTCGTCCTAATTATATATTTCGAATCACATCTTTGTGTGATTTGCCTATAATATTGCTTTGTGCGTATTCGCCGAAAATCATTTCAAACTGATCAAGTGCCTATATTATATAACTTTTAAATATCCAAATATATCAATGCAATCGATCGACAGTTAATATTGATTTATCGCGGACGAGTAAAAAAAATAAAAAAATATGTATACATATAATATACGCCCAAATAATATGTTATATATTTATCATAATGGCAGGTTCATATTTTCAAATAGAAATTCGTTTTCTCTTTCTTTCTTTTTTGTCGATCGGCTTTCATTTTATTCATCGGCTAAAACCTTTATGTTCATTCACGTAAWCGATGACCAACCCTGATCCCTTTGTTTCCCGTGATCAGTAGACATAACGCGTTCTATACAATATTATATATCAATCTCTTCACTTTTACTATTATTATTTTATAAATTTTTAAAAATATCTAGTCTAGTGCCTATTATATATATTTCAATAGCATAATATTATTATTCGTGTTTCAGTAGGTTCCCACGTGGAAATCAATAAGTACTATATTCTTAGCATTATTAGTCTAATCAATAATAGTGAGATATATTGTGCTAGGGATCAAATTACGTATTATATATGTTAAGTTATTAGATTGTAATACAAGTATTTCAATGTGTATAAGATAGAGTTATATGTGCTTTCATTGATATAATTGTTAGTATGTAAGTAGGTACATAAAATCCCATTTAAAATTATTGTGTTGATACATTTCCAAAAATATTAGCTGTATTTTTGTGTAGTGTACACGTCAAAAGTATTCAAATTATTTTAAATATTTGTCGAGAAAATCATTTTTGTTTAAAAATATATTTAAAATACATCAATACTTATGTTATAACCATAATATTATACACTTACGTATAAAAAAATTGTGTGCGTTGTACATCTGTTTGTCTGATGTTGGAAATAGGAAGTTTTGATGCTATCCACAAAAAAATTTTTTTTGTTGTTTAAGTTTTATAAATAATATAATTATTAAGTTATTTTAACGTATTGTTTTTTAAAAATTTTATACTTAACATCTATGTTTAATGTTTATATATTAAGTTTCGATTTAGGAACGTAAACCTATTATTTTGAGTTGTGATTTTTTTTTCAGAATGTGTATGATAATTAAATAAAATTAAATAACTTGTGAATGCTGCATTTTATTCAATTCAATTGTTACCTGACCATAATTATTWATATCATAGGTGCTATTTGAATGTGTCAATAGAACCTGCAAAACAAAATGTACAAAATAATATATTATTATAATATTTTCATTAACTGCTAAATAACTATATATTATATAAATAGCTATATGAGCTGCTAAATGCATAAAACCTTATAATCATATTAAAGTTATAGCGATGAGTATTGACGCATGATTGTACGGAGACCTTGAAACACTACTTTATTTTTATTTTATTAAATCATCATAAATTAACAATATAAAGATATTAACTCATATAATAATTATACTATTTTATGATTATCAATCCCTTTTAAGCTGAGCTTGTGTTAGGGAAAACTTTACCTATAACCCTTCTAGAAATTTGGCAATTGATGCGTTGTATAAAACGCCAATTACTTCTCCTGAAGACCCAAAATTGGATTCGCCATCCCTTAAAACCAATGCTGATTAAACATTACCGACAAGACAGGATTCGTTTTTTGATCTTGACAAAATACCTGTAATGCATTCATCTTAATTGATATTTGTATCAATAATTGTCATGTTTGGTTTCTTGTGAGATCTCGGGGGGGGGGTCATAATTTTCTGGAAAATTTTCGTTAGGAACAGTCAAATTGAAGAAATATTTGTCAGGAAAGTTTTCATGACGAGAAAATATATTTTAGAAAAATTATTATTAGCAATTAAAAATTGAGGAAAATATAAATCAAAAAATATATCCGTAAAAATAAAACATAAGAATTCAAAATCATTAAACTGAATTTACAAGAAATAAAAAAATCAGGAAAGTTTTAGATGGTAAAATAATTTATAGGAATTTAAATACCAGGAAAATATTTACACGGAAAATTAATATTCAGGAATAATAGTTTTATAGGGGTAGCATAATACATTCCTGATTGTGAAATTTCCATAAATTATATGGCCGTTTTTATTTTCCTGAATTTGGAATTCCTATGAACTAATTTCCCAAATTTTATTTTACTGAATTATAATTTCCTGAGAAAGTTTTCCCCTTGTAATATTTTCTACAGATAATTGTTCCTATTATTTWTTTCCGTACATATATTTTCCTGATTTTTATTTTCTRACAAATTATTGTTCCCTTGTATTATTTTTCTATATTTACTTTATTTTRCTATTTTTGTCATTCCGCTAAATGATTTTCTTGGATTTCATAGACATTTAGGTCGAGAAACTAAAGCAGAATCGCACATAGATATCATGTCGAAATTCTCGCCTATATTATATACCTAGTCATAAAAATCCCAACACGATAGCAGTTAAAAATCGACTCACACAATGTGTATAATATTATAATATAGCATTTCCACGCTTGATTTTGAATTACGTACAGTTCAATGACTAGAACATAATATAGGTTAGTTCATTTGTTACGCTGTCAACGAACATTAATGGAGATAAAAAAAAAAAAGTAATTGAAATACACAGTACGTCATTTATTCTAGTGGTACTATACCTTCAAAGTCTTCAATCCAATATTGTCAATTAAATATCAATTCTTCGTTACCTACTACTTACGACCAGCTTATAACATTCTAAATTGGATTTTAGGTAGGTTTAACTATAAGAAAATAAATAGTGTCCTTTACAATTGACAATTGTAATTTGATTATCTGTTCAACAATTCCGTTTAAATGTYATTCTATTACAGTTCTAATTAA